TTCTTATTTTGATCCAAGATGAGACCACTTGGAATCCAGGCAACCCCCAGTCAACACAGGAGCAACCTTTGTCAGGAGCTATTTCAACACAACAATGGATAATTACAATGTGAAACCCCAGCAGTTTCAACTGCCTGTGGTGAAGAAAAAAAAACACAACAAAACCAAAAAAAACCAACTAAAATCTTCCATCATGAAAGCAGAATGACCCAGGAGTGTGCCAAGCAGGTGTCATTTCCTACCTGCAATGCTTTTTACATGGACTGGGCAGTCATGTCACTCACCCTGCTTTCCTACTCCCTCTGTATCAGACTGGAGTTAATGCAAAGTTACCCATCAACTCTGCTTCCCAGAGCACTGCAGATCCCAATTAATTTTGATTGCTTTATGGTAACTCAGGCCTAGCAGCACTAACAGATGAGGCAGACACACCTTCAGCATCACTGCAAGGAGCAGCAGGTTTAAAGCTAAAGACTAAAGAGCTTCTCCAACACTCACTTTGTAAGCTGCTTGCATTTCAGTTCATCTTTCCATACAACATGAAAAATAATCTCCCTTCAGAAGAGAGCTACCAGGAATGCTTATATATCCCCTGGAAAACAGAGAACAGCACTGCAGGGTGAAGTATTGGTATCAGTTTCACACGAGGAAGGTACAAACCTGAATGCCTCTTCCTACAGTGAGCAGCAAAGTTACCAGAAGAGAATTATTATTCCTGGTTCCTGAGGGTTTTTTCTGCCAGCAAACCTGTCTGACCTGTACCAAGCCCATCTGCTTCAGCAGGTAACCACACTCTCAGAGCTGCACTGGTGCTCACCTTGGGTTTTATGTAACTTCTTGAAGCAAAGTTTAACATCAAATATGCCTGAAACGTATGCTGGCAGTGGGGACTGCCTAAGCCAGTGTAACAGCTGCAGCTGCAGGTTAAGCAAAAAGAAATTACTGCAGCTCCTGACTCATAACTGCTGTGCTATCACGGGCTGAAATTCCCCACCCTGAAGCAATCACCGGGCCAGAGAGTTCCAGCTGAAATCCAACACCAAGGACAGCCCCAGTGCCTGCTCAGCAGCAGCTCTCCTCCAGCCCAACAGTCAGAGATCCTAAACAATTATCTTGGTTAAGACAGGAAACATTGAGTATCCACAGCTCTAAAAGGATGGAGAGATGCTCAGAGCTGCCCAGGATCCAGCCCTAGTGTTTCAGACACCCAGTCATGCAAATGTTTTAAAATACCTTCACCCACAGGTTGTTGGTATGATTACACCAACCCTCCTTAGAGTGTCTCTCTTCCCTCAGCTGTTTTCCAACACCCACAGACTTCTCTGTCCCTTTACACACCCCCCATTCTCCCAAACGAGTAATTTAAAAACCAGGATGTTTTCAAAACGCTCTAAATTCATCAAACCACAGGAAAAGACCACAGGAGCACACAACCTCCAGAAAAAGCTTTGCAGCTAATGTGGCCCTAAGAACCCCACAGGAACTGGAGCCAAGCCTCAGCCCCACTCTCTGCAGCCTGCTAAGTTAGCAGCCAGCAGCAAAGCCAAACACATCTTCAGCTCCTCCAGGCTCCAGGGGAGCGGAGGTTTTTAAGGTCAACAAAGCAGCACCAACTGCTCTGCCTGCCTTACAGTGAGCTACACCTGTGCACACAGCAGAGGTGGGACAGCACTTATTAACCCTGTGCAATCACTTCCAGCATTTTCCACGTGTCTCCTTGTGTTACAACTTAAACCCAAGTCCAGACGCTTCTTTCAAATCCACATCTGAAGGCAAAGCAGGAAAGTCACCCCTGCTCTGCAACTTTCTGCTTACACTGAAGCCAGAGAGAAGCCAAAGACGCTGAGGGAGCCACGTTTTGTCTCCCCCACACCCTCTGGTGTCTGCCCTGCAGCAGAGAGACACAAGCTCCTCTTGCTGCCAGGGTGACAGCGGCTCAAAAAACTGAAACAGAAATCACACTTCACACCTGGAGACGCACACTCATCGCCTCGACCAGCAGACACTGAGGGGAAGAGGAGCCTGACACAGACACCCCCTCGGCCCCGAGATGTGGGACTGGCATGGGCAGGGCAGGAGAGCAGGGGATGGGCAGGGGGTGGGCAGGAGGAGCAGCGGGCAGGGTGGCATGTTGGGCAGGTGGTCGGACAAGGTGGTCAGCGGGGCTGGCAGGCAGGGCAGGGCAGGGCAGGGCGGGCAGGGCACCTGGGCAGGCAGAGCAAGGCAGGGCACGGCAGCTGGGCAGGCAGGATAGGGCAGGAGGGGCAGGGCAGGCAGGGAAGGGAGGGCAGAGCAGGGCAGGGCAGGGCAGGCAGGGCAGGGCAGGACA